CCCGCCGCCGATGCACAGGAAGGCGACGCCAAGCCCCCCGCCCAAGAGCCGCAAGAAACCGTGTCGGGTCTGCCGCGCAACGTCGAGTCGGAACTGCGCGACATCTACTCGGTCTCGAGCGCCATCGCCAACTTTTGCGTGGCGCACGTGAACCAGGTCAACGTGCCCACGCCGCAAAAGGTGCGCACCGTCATCCAGAAGGCGCTCAAGCTCACCTCGTCGCTCTCCATGCTCCTCGCCCAGCCCGAGGTGGCGCTGCGCCAGCTCGATGCCGACGACAACAAGCGCCCCGCCGAATCCAAGCTCGACTCGGCGCGCAAGCGTCAGCGCTCCTCGGACTGGGACGGCAACCGCTCCGCCGGCTCGCCCTCGACGCCCGGCCTGCCCATGGCGCCCTTCACGCCCAACTCGGGCCTGAGGGTCTTTCCGGATGGCTCGCTCCCCACCTCGTTCCCCTCGCCCGGCTTCGACGATGCCAAGGGTCCGCAGTACAAGAAGCGCAGTCGCGCGCCTGCGCCCGGCTCGTGCCAGGCGTGCGGTACGAGCGAGACGCCCGAGTGGCGTCGTGGTCCCGACGGTGCCCGGACGCTGTGCAACGCGTGCGGGCTGCACTATGCCAAGCTCGTGCGCAAGCGCATGCAGCAGGAGGGCGGCGAGGAGGCGTCGCCCTCGCAGCCGCCGCCCCAGCTCGCGCTCGTCAGCCTCGAGGAGCTGCGCGCCTCCACAAAGAGCGCAGAGGCCGCGGCAGCCGCCGGTCTCACCCCCTCGGCGTCGAGCGGCTCGCTCAACGGCACGCCGCTCAAGGGCGAGCGTTCGGCGTGGAATACGCCCTCCAAGCCGCCCCGCGTGCCCTCGGCGCTCGCCAACAGCGTCATTGCGCCCGAGCTCGAGGCCGATGCCCAGCCGACTGAGGCGGTGAGTGCACCGCTCCCACCCCCGCCTGCGCCCGTCTCCGCGTCCGCCCCGCAAAGCGGCGTGGTGGAACCGGCGCCCACCCCCGTCTCGGCGCCCGTCGACAACAGCGTGATTGCACCCGAACTCGCCGCTGAGGGCACCGACGAGCGACCCATGGAGACGGACCAGTGACCGTCGCAGCCGCCCTCTCCCTCTTCGTCTCTCCTTTTGTGTTTAATCTGTGGTATGGTAAATATGTTGTTTCATGTGTGAAGCCAAGGTGTGTGGGATTTTTTTGAGGCCTCGATTTCCACTGAATTCAACCGCGTTGCAATGGCGGTGGGATGCGGCGATAGTGGGGCCGCGCTGTTGGACCGCGGGTTGAGGGGAGGGCCGGGATGATTGTGCGCACGGTGCACACCTGCTAACCCCGCACTTTTTTTGTCTTTTACCCCACAAAACTGCGTACTGTTGCGTGGCATGCTGGTTTTTCTTTTCCCCGCATGCTCGACGGCAAGCGGTGGCAGACGTGCAGCAACGGTGCAATGCACGGCAGGAAGGGCAATGGCCCGAGCGTTGAGGTGTAGGTTCGGAACGCATGTGCCGAAGCGTTCCCGCGCGGTCGGGTGGGGGACACGGCAGATATAAACGCGCTTCTCCCACTGTTTCACCCCCCCCC